TGATATCAAGCATTTGATGAAGTTTTGCAACAGTCTGCACGGTGGATTGAACAAGCTTGCAGAGTTGTTGGAAGTAGAAAGAGTTGGGATTTGTCATCAAGCGGGTTCGGATAGTTTGCTCACATCTTGTACATTCAGGAAATTGAAAGAGAATTTCTTTAGTGGCTCTTTGGAAAAGTATTCTGGTGTGTTGTATGGTTTAGGTGTTGAGAATGGACAGAGTACTTTTTGAAAATGAAAAGTAATAAAAACAAAAAAAATGATTTGGACAACTGTTTGTTTGTCTGTACGAGTGTGCCTCATACCCACACTTCAATGTACACTGTTGGCAACAATTTTCGTAATTTATGTATATTTTCTTAGGCTTATTGTTCTCTTTGTTCTTTCTGTTGCTGCATTATAAATTTTTATGTTTCATATATCTGTCAAGTGTCAAGTGGGGCATTTATGTTCATATATTATGTGATAGCAAATTGGAAAAATGATGGAGCATAATCTTGATGGTTATATTTCTAACAATGAAAGAACATAATATTTACACCACCACCATTGCTTCTGAAATGTTACTGCACAATCCTAAAGTAGTGCATTTTTTAGGGTATTTAGTGGTAGACATCCATTTCTCGTCAGTATTACAATGTTATCATCCCTTTCTTGAATGCGTTGCTTTTGTATCTATCATATTGTCTAGAATTAGATTGCTTCCTCTATTGTTTCGCTCAACCCCCTATTCTCTGTCCATCTCTCTCTCTCGTGCACTTTTAACCCTTTTATTTAGTGATTGTGACTGGTGAGCAAGAATAATGACTGACATCCGACAGGCCTTGTGTCTGTTGTACCAAATCTTACTCTTATTATCCTGAAAGGTAAAACTAATTAATGGTTGAACCTTCTCTATTTTCTACTACATTGCTGATTATTCCTTTGTACAAGTTGGGTCTATAAGGCATTACTTCTTGCCTAGCAACCTCTCCTTTTCTTCATTCCACTTTCTGTTAGTGTCAATTCTCCCATTGCAACAATTTTTAGAACTTGCCTGTTGAAGCTTATTGCCTAAATATATCATATATCCCCCTGAATGCCCCAGTTTCCACCAATTCTCGTTCTTTTCAGGTAATTTTTTATATTTTCATATGCAGCTTCTGTCCACAAAGATTTGAGTGACAATGAATGTGAAATTCACCCTTTAAATTATTTCATGATACATTTTGGTATAATCACTGCACATAAATCTTAATCCACAATTCACTGAACAATTATTTTGAAGGCTTACTTCATCTTAAGGTTTCTTGATATTTTCTTTATTTTTCAGGTAATGCAGCAGGGGTCCTATGTTTTTTCTGTTAATATCAGATTGAGAAGCAAAAATATGGGTACTTATCGATCACAGTTAACAAAATTTATTAGGTATCTCTTCATTCTGACCGAGTTTAAAGGTAAACTTTTCACTGTCAAGTTCTTTCTTTTTATCTTTGCTATTCTAGTTTCAGACTTCTGGATGGTAATGAAAGCTTGATCTAAATTTAAGGTTTCTCTGCGTAGGAATTGCTGCTCTATGATTTCTTCAATATACGAGGTAAGATCCATTATCTAAGTTATCTCTTCTTAAGGAATAAATATTGTTTGGACGTTGTTGTTTGGGAAAATGGATCTCACCTGAAATCTGCTTCAATGCTTATCTGTTAGGTAATTTGCCTTTTCCTAGCTTGGTGAGGTTTCTGCAGAGATCATTTTTTTTATTCTGATATGACATGGGGGCAAATTCAGGACCTTAGCAATGGTTGTTCATCATTAGAAGAGGCGTCTTATAAAGAATACTGTTTACCTCACACTTTTAGTCTCTTATTAATGCATTGAGTATGCAAATACAAGGTTTGGCACATCTAGTTTCTGGTTGGGGATTTCATACAATCTATGCATTTTTAACTTATATTATGATCTTTGACATTTTCCTTCTCTTGTAATTTTATAAAGCTGCTTTAAATTGTGGTTAGAATATTTACTTTCATCCCCCAAACAAGCTCATTGCCTAAATAGGTGGTTTTGTCACTCCTGCATGTCCTTTTAGTAATTAATTAGGCTGTTGCTAGGCAGTATACACATACATGCGCGCAGAAGCATGTTGGCACCTAGGTACCATATGAGACCACATTCTTGATTTTGGAAGGCTTAAATTCAAATTTCTCTGTTATATTTTAACCCTTGGTATCATCTTGAGCATTTTATATTTAGGTGTTTGTTTATTTATTATGCAGAGGATAATAGGATGAGAAACGTTGTTGTCAACAAGCATGGATTGTTTATAAAGCCCTTCCTCCCTGTATTTATCAATCCCTGTATCTGTATTTATCTATCGATCTCTGTATCTGTATATTATCTGGCAACAAGGAATGTTCTAAATCCCTTGGATTATTAGAGTGCTGTTTATCTTTGTGTCTTGAGTAAGCTAGTTGCTGAGTTATTTATTATTGATATAGGTTCCCCTTATTTGATGCATTTTAGTTATTTCTAACTCCATTCATCATTTTACATTTTTTTTTTTGGCTTTTACCATTACAGCTTTCTACTTTTCTAGTACTAGCTTAATGCCTGGGATATTTTTGAGTTTTTATATATTATAAGATGCTCCATTCTGTTGAGGACCTTGAGGCACTCTTCTTGCCTTTCATGAAATGCCTCAACTTTGCATGGACCTGGGCAACGAAGTGGGTTAGGACAAAATTTCTTGATTGGCTGCAAAATTTAAGAACTTAGGAAACTTAAGTAGCTATACTAGGTTCTATACTGCTTGGACGTGTGGGGTTCTTTTGATAAGGGAAGAGAAAGTGTTACAACAAGTAAAGTGAGATGCACTAGAGGTGATGGAGAGGAAGATTAAAGCAATTCTTGAAGTTTTAAGTGCTTTATGGCAGGAGGTGAGAGATAAAAGTTAGGGAAAAGATAGTGAAACCTTGGCGGCGGAGCTTGATGGAGAATAGAATAGGAAAGAGTTGAGTAGAGGAGAGAGAGTATTCGAGAAGAGTTGAGGGAGAGCTTTAGAGAGTTTAATGATTTCACTGAAATTTTGATTTGCATCTTTAATTGCCAAGCGCATATATATATATATATATATATATATATAATGTACTTATTGGATATCATCGAAAGAAAGAACATGTTCATGATAAGAGCACGTCCATTATGTCATAACACGTTTATCATCGGATAGCACGGGAGCTCATTAGTGAAAGGATGTTTTGGTTTAATGAGACAGTGGAGTTAAGTTACACTTAGCAATGTGTCATGTTTTTTAGGGAAAAAGAAAAAAGGTAAAGCACATATAAATCGAAGATCTTTTAACTATCTTCATATTTGAGTTATTTAAGTCAAGCTCTTAAGAACATTTCAAAAGTGAAAATAACTCATGAATCTTGTTACATGTTCTGAATTATTTTCACTATTCTCTGTTATGGTATGGCTCCTTGACATAATGTACGATATTAGTTGTATGCTGTTAATGATGAGTGATGGTCCTCATCCTCGCACAACAGAAGAGGTATTCAATCATGCGCATGCCATGGCCAGACTTGGTTTTTTCTTCTTTGCGCAGGATGCTTTTTCATGTGAAGGTCCCATTGGAGCTGGTTTCGACTTTCTTATCTTTATTTTCGGTTTGTTGGTTTTTACTTATTTTTATTATGTTGGTCATGTTTTTTATGTAATAATGATTTATTTTGTTCCTTTTAATGAAATTTCATGATTCAGTGAGAAAAAATGAACAACTTTTAGAAGTGTGAAGCTACTTTTGATTACCAAGGAGATAGAATTTACACTCATTTAAAGCCTTTTTTTTTTTTAAATTTTTTCGTGGATATTGTGAAAACGTTTACGTAATTAAGTTGCAATCAAATTCTTTTATCGTGACGGATATAATTTCTGTTCTTAATAAATGTAAGTGTATGAAGAATAATTTAAGTTCTTTAAAGGGTCACGTTATTCATCATAATTAGCAAATTTGATGCACATCGAGTTCAGTTGGAATATAATTCTTTAAATCCAAATTCAATTTGGATAGATTAGACCTTTGTTAATAAATAATATATTTTATTTAATTTTATCTTAAATTAATTTTAAAATATCAAAATATTAACATAAAAAAATTTATTTTATTAATTTAATAATAAAAAAAATTCGGTTCAAGCCTAAATTTTAAAAAGGAAATACCTACTAAACTTGACTCATGAGCATACTATGTAAGAAAAATAAATGAACTAATTTATAAATTTCTTGAAAATTTAATAAAGTAATTGATCATAATATTGTTTTTAGAAAAATTGAAAGAATTAGAGTAAAAATTGAAATAAATACTGATAAATTCGTATATGAAAAATTTACATTTATTTTAGATTTTTCTCTTCTTGTTCAAAAGGAAGTAAGCAAGGGAAAGGCAGCCGACTCCGTACAAGTCTCATCTCTTTCCATTATATATATATATATATAAAGAATGATTCGAATTTTATTTTTTAAATAAGAGGTTATATATTAATCAAAAAATTAAATATTTGAATATTCTTTTTCAATTAATTCAGTAGCTTTGTTCATTGTTTTTAAAATGAAACTCTATATTTTAATTATTTAATTATAAATTTTGTACGATTATTAGGATGACTTTATGAATTTGCAATTCTGATAATAACAGTGTTGAGTTTTGAGTTCATATAATTAAGTTCTTTTTGCACAACCCTCCATAATTCTTTTATATTTCATGGCCTTTCCTCATCTAGTAATTTTAGAAACCCCTGTAAATTTTGACCTAAATTAGATGTTTTGATTAAAGTTACATAAAGAAGAAGAGGAATAATGCGATACAAAATTTTATTGATATTAAAAATTTTAAAATTACTTTTATAATGTATATAGAAGTTATCCAGTGTTACTGTATCCGATATAAGCTCATTAGAGAAACAGAACAGTGAAACCTCTCTTTTTCCCGAGAAACAAACAAAACAGATAAAAAGGAAAAAACCACAAAACATTAACCACGACGAGTCAACGACCAGTTCTTAAGAAAAAGGAAAAACCCATTTTAGGGCCTCCAATAATATTGCAAACAGGAAACCCTACAGAGAGAACGGAAGTATCTTCAGAGATTTTCTGGATCTTTCTCTCTCTAGAATCTGCCTTGTTTATATACTTCTCTCAAAAAACGTACCATTTTTCCACTTCTTTAAGGTAAGTTCCTTCTTCATTTCTTCATCTATATAATCATTTATTTAATTTATCGTTTAGTTCTTTGAAATTCGTGTCGGGGTGAAGCTGGCTTTTATTTGGTTTGGAGGATTTATTGCCTTAAATTTATTGTAATTTCTTGCAGATCTGGTGAAATTGAATCTGGGTGTTTTGCGAATTGACTCCTTGTTTGGGGTTTTCGTGGTAATCTAGGAATCTTTTTCTTGGGTTGTTACTGGTTGAAAAAGAAATTGGGGTTTTTTTTTTTGTGGTTTTTCAAGTGATGTCTTTGCTGCCGAAGGGCGATTCAATCCAAATCCGTGAGGTCTGGAAGGATAACCTTGAGGAAGAATTCGCTTTGATTCGTGAAATAGTTGATGACTACCCCTACGTTGCCATGGACACCGAGTTTCCAGGCGTTGTGTTGCGTCCCTTGGGCAATTTCAAGAACAGCTATGATTATCACTACCAAACTTTGAAAGACAACGTTGATATGTTAAAGTTGATTCAATTGGGTCTTACGTTTTCAGACGAGGAAGGAAACTTGCCTACATGTGGAACTGACAAGTATTGCATTTGGCAATTCAATTTCCGCGAGTTTAATGTCAATGAGGATGTGTTTGCTAATGATTCTATTGAGCTTTTGAGGTGGGAATTGATTTTCAAGAAAAACAATGAGAAGGGTATTGATGCAATGAAGTTTGGTGAGCTTTTGATGTCTTCAGGGATCTTTTGATGATAGTGTGCATTGGTTTACTTTCCATAGCGTTATGATTTCGGGTACTTGCTTAGCTCTTGACTTGCCAGAATTTGCCGGATACACAAATTGGGTTTTTTAGTTTGATCAATATTTACTTTCCTACCCTTTATGATATCAAGCATTTGATGAAGTTTAGCAACAGTCTGTACGGTGGATTGAACAAGCTTGCAGAGTTGTTGGAAGTTGAAAGAGTTGGGATTTGTCATCAAGCAGGTTCGGATAGTTTGCTCACGTCTTGTACATTCAGGAAATTGAAAGAGAATTTCTTTAGTGGGTCTTTGGAAAAGTATTCTGGTGT